TTGTTTTACACATGTTAATCACCTTGTTAATCACTGGTGTATCTCATTAGTGGTTTTCTCCCAGGGTCACATGGCTTCTCTCCCTCAGATAAAAACATGTAGGTCAGAAACTCTAAATCAGCTCCAGGTGAATGTTCCTGTGATACTGTGAGAGTGTCGCTCTGCTGCTGTCTGTCAGCAGCTCTCTGAAAAGAAGTGAAGTGAGTATAGAGGATGGATGGTTTAACAGCCCTCCTCTGTACGCTGTGCTCTTCCTGCTGATGTGACTGACAGGCAGAGTGGGCGGGTCATCACTGATGATGTGGAGCATCTCAGTTGGCTGGCTTGCTCAGTATTTACGATGGCTCCTCTGTCTTTGTCACTGTGGCAAATGGCTGGATACGTCTTTTTATATGAACTCAAATTAAACTGATCCATAAATTCCTGTTTAACTGGGTGGTAACAACAATGTAGGATTTTTTATTGGGCCTAGAGGCATAGTTCTATATATTTACAGATAAATTACATGTGATATATTTAAAGGCCAGTGGTGTCAGTGCCCTTTTTAAACATGAATATTTGGCCATTGAGATAAAAGTTAACTCTGAATCTTATGTTTGTTGAATCATTTGACTGTCACTACAAGATTTGACTGATATCAGACAGAATTGTCACTTGACCAGTGTATCCGCCTGAATCAAACGTTACTTAGTATTCAACTGATGTGTCGCCATGCCAACAAACTGATTTCACTTGATTTTTAAGAGTGGAGCGAAGCAACGTAAAAACAAAGATATCGGGCGAAATATTAAAAAGGCGTTGATTTAGAACAGCCTCGATAGCAGCGTCTGTCTTGACTATAGTGGTCACCTTTCTTGTATTACTCCTCATAGCTTTAGGCACACAGCGTTACAGCAGCTTGACAATGGCATTAGTCCCACCCATGGTGCTGATTGGCTGATCGTTAATACCTCTACAATGGTTGGTGGATCTATTGATTTTGAGAAACCTCTGTTTCATGTCACGATGCCAGACAAACCAGTCGACTCAACGAAGTGGGCAGATTCAAAGGTCTGGACCAAGACAACTAAAACTGCAATGATGTAAAGACAGAGCTCTCGCAAAATGGTGTCGGGAGAAAACTTGTTTTGGCGGAATGTTTGCACGTGGGAAGGCGAGCCTTGGCATTAACATGGCTAAATCCCTGCAACAGAAACGCAACATAAAACATTTGAAGATGTTTCAGAGTGTAGGTTGCTACAACACATTCTCACTCTGACCTCGTCACATATTGACGTTTGGTCATGGACTTTCCACGTCCACATACAATGAGCAAGGAACCCTTGGTGCGTTGGTTGTTGACGCTCTGGGAAACCGTGCCAAGTTCTTCCTGTTACATCCAGGAAATTTAATATTTACATACAGTCTCTTTCAAAATAAACGCAGTACATCGGTGCCACACCTCAAACACGCGAACGTGGTTGGGTTTAGAAAAAAAAGAACAGGGTTTGGCTTTATAACCTTTATAACCTTAAGGGACATGAACACCGTTTTCTTGAGTGAAAGTTGGTGTTTGTTGGACCCATCCACCACCCCTCCCCTCCCACCTGCCCCAGTCAGACTTTTGCAGCCTTAACTTTCGTCCTTGTCCTGGCGCATTTCCCCCTGATGCTGCTAGACGCCATTAAACTATAACGGCATTAGCAGCATATCATGCCGATGTTAAAGGACGGCTTTTTCCATTGGTTTGTGACACCACAAGTCACTGCCCAACCACCAGATTTCGACAACTTTGAAGTGAGACCGGGTTCGTTGCTACTGTAGCTTGGAGGTAGTTATTGTAGTTTCACGCACAGCACTAAAATGATGTGTGGAGATAGTTCTGACTATGTGAGTCTAGTTTCATTTAACTGCCGTGATTTTGAAAACCGTACCATGCAGGAAGGAGAAGCGGAAGACAATTCCATCTGAGCTCGGAGGTCAATGGCAGGCTTATACCAGCAGTCTACATCCTGTGAGCCAGACTACAGCAACTCAAACTCAGTCTATGACGGGGGACCGGATGGACCCAACTTCAAGACTCTGTTGCTGCTGTTACAGAGGTTAGAACTGGTGCTGCCATTGGCCACCAGCCTGCTGTGACCGATGACTTAGAGCTGCTGTGGCTGACGACCGCAGGTCTGTTCCTGGAGCCACTGCCCCCTCTACCCCTGGCGAAGCAGTCCACAGCTGCAGGGAGCGAGGAGGAGGTGTGGTAGCTAATTCTTGTCTCACCTGTGGTCTGAGAAACAGAGAGAATGAAATAAGATTAAAAAGATCAGTGTATGCTCCTCTCTGAAGGAATTTTGGAAATATATCATCAGAATGATTATAGATGTCGTAAAAACCGAAATAGAATCTGACCCTAGGGTCTTGATCTTGGGAGACATTCAGATTCTTAACATGGATCACAATAAAAAATACTTCATATTACTCGCGGGCACAGCTGCAAAAAAGTGTATCCTACAAAGCTGGGAAGCTGAACTTCCCCCCTCACAGAAACAATGGTTAAATGAACTAACTTCCTATAGCACACCCGAAAAGATCCTCTATAGTGTGAGGAGGAAACTGGTAACATACGATGAAATATGGGGCCCTTTCCTCACCTTGCTACCATCATTGCATCCTTGTAGGACCTCACAGTCTATTAGACAAATACCTAATCTTTTAATAAATTTTATTTTTTATACTTTTCACCTTTGAAGTGAGAACTAGAGATACATTTCTACCATACTGGGGTGGGGGTATTCTGTGTTTTGTATTGTTTCTCTGTTTGCACTTTCTGTCATGTAAAATGGTAAAATAGCAATTTTGTCAATAAAAATATCTTTACAAAAAAAATAGGTCAGTGTATGGGAAACAATGGGTTACAGTATGAAGCACCTGCATATGCATGTACTTGTCTGGTGGGACAGAGATGAGAGCTGCAGGAGGAGAGGTATTTTCAAATTCTACCTTTTTTTTATTGCCCTCTCCAGAAAAGTGCCCCCCCAGCTTTACCTTGTGTTTACTCTCAGTGTCAGTTATAGAAACCCACCCTGAAACATGAAACAAAAGTGTGCTGTTGTGTTGTTTCAGGTTGGAAAGATGGTTGATTTTATTTCCACTGTGGTGATACAGTGAGATACCAACATAACGAGAGGCCAATCAGATTGCTCTGAAATGTTCCCTCCTACTTTCCATGATTACATTAAGGCGAGTCATCTTCTAATACGCTCTAATTTAGCTGCAGCTACAAGTGGATTAACATGAAAATGGTGATCATATTTTATTTGCTGCTGATGCTCAGAGTGGGACGTAAGTATATTTACAGAAGTCAGATTTACTCCAGATATACATTTAAAATATTATGTTCTTACAGTAATTTAGTACAGTGTGTACATTTTTCTTTCTCTGTTGTTAATCACTGCTCCATTTAATTTTATGTTCAGGATGCACAGACGATCACGTCTTTGAAACGACAACTGTTGAAGTTGGAGATGATGTGACTTT